TGCCGTTCAGTGGTTGAAATCGGCAACCTAAGCCTCGGAACTTGGAGTGACGAACCACATAAGGCCCCGATAGGTTAGGCGTGGTATTGAATCGGACGATAGCAGAGCTGTCTACCACCAAAGTCGGGTGGTGGTGGCGGGCTCGAACCTCGGACCATAGGGTCCAATGCACGCCGGTGACAGCGACTAAACCACTGCGCCACCAATGCTTGCAACTTACCTGGATCTTCACTTAGTAGCACAATGTCGTCTGCGTACTCCAGATCAGACAGCCTGCCACCTGGAAGTAAATCGATGGGAACAGAAGACGAGTTAAACAAAGGTTGGGATATCTAAGCAGTGGTCCACTTATCACTACCCACCCCGCTCGATGCAATGGGCAGCGCGTTCCTGATTATCCTGCGCAACGACCGATGCAGTATGAAATTACTTTTATTTTGTGTATGCATTGGGGTTTGGTGGACGGGTACTTCTAAGGTATCCAGCCACTAAGCAGGAGAACGAGTAGGGTTCTCGTCCAAAGCCTTTAGTTCTAACAAGAACCTAACCGCAAGGCAGCGAATGAGGCGAAGTGGAGGTCCATTTATTTGAATCGATTACTCCTCCACCGTTTTTTATCGACTGAAACGCCAAATTCCAGGCGAACCCCCAACCTGGAGGACCAGGAGACTGAACTTCGTCTGACCTCTACCCATTGACCTTCCAGGATTGCTACGATCTCCTGGCTTGACAAAAGTCATCCTGTGTAGCTCGTTGGGTCATTAGGTGCCCAAGCCATCACGCCATGTCAAGGTGTAGTCTTGTCGTGATGACGTGACATGATGTGACCAGTCTGCTCGGGCAAACGGGTCATGTCGAAGCAGGTAGAACAAAAAGCAACTTTGACAAAAATCCAGCATAATCACAATGGCGCTGTTGCTGGTAAACAACCCACGTCAAATTTATTGAGCATTCCAATAATTGCTGAAAGGCAATCGAAACGAAAAGTTTAATTTACCCTCGTACAAACTAAAAGTTCCTCTCCGATTTTCCTTATTATTTGCGATGCTTACCTCGACTTACTTACGTTTCCAGATTATACGTAGATGTATTGGCTCTGGGATATCCTCAACGTCCGCAATGCCCAATTTCGATCACCAGATGCCCTCAATTCCCTCATCGGTTTCGTTTCTGGATTGGGTTTACTGCCTTTTCTACTGCTCTTGTCCGGCAGTAACCCTTCAGTCCTGATCGTTTTTTGCTACTCTCTCGGCTATTCGTGTTTGGTTCTTCCATTGATCAATATTGCTTTTGTGTCTCATGACCGCTCTTCACAGAAATGTGGGGGATTCGAAAATTCATCACGTGCTTTCTTCCTAGGACTGGTTTTTGCTCTAGCCGTTCTTCTTTCACTTATTTCCATACACTCGGACCACCCAAAACGGCTTTGGGCATTCAGTTGCTACATCTGTCTTCTTAGCTTTTTCCATTGGTCAGAATTTTACGTCACTGCTGTTTATAATTATGCCAACTGCGGTGTTGATATTTATATGCTAACTCATAGTCCAGAGTATGTGATGGCGGTCATCGCTTGTGCACTGGAGTATTGGATTGAGACATTGTGCGTGCCAACAATGCTCCCTAACTATTATTATCCTTTCCCACTTATTGTCAACATTTTCGGTTTGCTTCTTTGCTTTGGTGGTGAGGCTGTGCGCAAGTTTGCCATGATAACCACAGCCCAAAATTTCAATCATTATGTGGAAACCGAACGTCGAAATGAGCACCAATTGGTTACAAGTGGTGTTTACTCATACTTTAGGCATCCCGCTTACGTGGGTTGGTTGTATTGGACTATTGGGACCCAAGTCTTACTTGGAAATCCAATTTGTTTGATTGGTTTCACTGTTGTAGGATATAGATTTTTGTATGGACGCATTCTACACGAAGAGCGACATTTATTATACTTCTTTGGTCACGCTTATTCACAATACCAAGAAAAAGTGGGTACGGGAATTCCATTTATTAAAGGATACCGAATCAATGGATAACCGTTTATGCTCGACTAATCGCCAACTTTCACTTTCATCGTGTCTACTTTTTGGAAACATATACACGGCTTGTACACCGGTGGCTTGAATAAATAATTCAAACTAATTCTTCTTTCTCTTCTTATTTGGTTATCGATTTGATGAACTACTCTCCATCCATAGTCACCTGAAACGTAGTTTTAATCGTCGAGGTGAATGAGTGGGCATGAAAACCACCTTGGAGTCAAATCTCTTGATCATTCACCAAATGAAATGTGAGCAGCCGACCTACACGACGCTGTACAAATTCTTTGTGAGCGTTAGTCTCCTCCCATTTGAAAAAGCCATGTTAACGAATTAAAAAATGCTATCTGTTTACTGATCTGGGCTAACCTTGTGTTCCAAAAACTTGCCGTAATAAAGTGATTTAAATGGGGTGATATTCACAATTAATTCAGTTTGCTTATTTTGCGCTCAAAGATTTAGAGGTTGTAAATTGAAAGGAAAACAGAAAAAGCAAAATGTTACACAGTTTGTCAGTTTGATGAAAAAATGATAGAACTCCTGTAGTGTCTGAAAAGGTATAATCGACCTTTTGACTGTCGGTGGCACGTGAGAGGGATGGGAGCAGAATATGAACCAAATTCATCATCATCATCACCCCCACTAAGCCAGATTCTGGAACGCCAATATTTCTTTCTTAAACCCACAATTTCTATTCACCTTGACTCAGTCGACCTCACAGTACTCCGGTGCTGCTCCTCCGTTTTTTGATGTCTCAAAGAATTCTATTGCATTAGTACTATTTCTTTGTACTGATAGCCGAAGCCAAATTTTAGTTTACCACCCGAGTTCACCACGGAAAGTGATGTTCATCAGGGTTGATCTCTCTCCTTTTCTATTTTACGTTGTAATGGATATGGAAGAGTAAATCGCTCTGCCCCACCATGGTTCGATCATGTTTTGCATTTGCCTGTCCGTCGTCTTCGTCCTCTCTTTGCGCGTGCTGGCCAATGCTGGAGCTTACTTGGCGGTGGTCAAACCACGACCTGGTATTTAGGTATGAAGAACCTAGCTTCACCACTGTCTTCGCTTGGGAACCAGGG